GCTCCGTTGCCATAGCAATTAACAAACACAACAAAATAGTATCTCTTTTCACTAGTCTTTAAATATCACAGATAAAGAGGAAACCGAAACCCATGAAGAGCTTTATGCATTTTTACAAAAGTATAAAGAACAAAATGACACTGTTCGATAAAACGTTTATGGCATCAGTTTTAACGTTTTCCTTGGTCTCATGGTTTAGGAGCGTCTCTGCTAAAAACAGGAACTCCCTGAATCAGAGGGTTAAATGGGCGAGTGAGGTGATTGTCCGTCCTCGGAGCAGCCTGGACTCCCTGTACTCAAGACACTTACAGAAGATGTCCCAGAGTATTTTAAAAGACGTACAACTTCCACTAAATTCAGAGTTTCAGCTGCTTCCCTGTGGTCAGAAGCTTTTAGTCCGAAGATCAAGAATGAATTGTTTTAAAAGCAGCTTCGTTCCAGCTGCTGTCATACTTATGAATAAATTGTAATCTATTTCTTTAGTACGTTTGTCTTGGAAAAATCATGTGTTTTAATTGTATATTTTTATTTATATTTAATATTTATTGTGATTTTAGTCAAACGTGATGGATGAATTTAAGTAATTGTTTAAGAACCAAGCCATTCTGCACTGGAGCTCTGTAACACTTTATTTTGTAATTGAGCTTTTATACGTGTTTATTGTACATAATGTGGATGGGACCTCCTTCTCAAATCTGCAAAACAAATTTACCTACATGGTACGAATAAAGCAACCCAACTTAACAATACATTTTATCTAACTTTTTAATGAAAAATGTTGTTTTAAATCTTGCCAATATTTGTCAATGATATAGTTTGATTTTATGAAAATAATTACAAAATTAGGTGTATTTCAACACTTGCTGAACACTAAGTCCGATTTTTATGAAAGGCACAAAAGTGGATGGCGCATATTATAAATTTATAAGAATATGCATATTAAAGGTTTCTGAATTACACTACAAGTTTGAAGAGTGATTTTAACAAACTTTAAGCATTATCTTATCCATCATGTGATATTATATGTAATGTGTAATATAAAAAGTATTTCTAAGCTATTCCATTAGATAATCTCGTATAAAGACAGTAAACGTACACAATCCATCGCCCAAACAGTAACTCAAATTGCAACCATACCGCTTTTCCCTCTAAAAAACACAACCAGAAGTCGTAAACAACATCTCTGTGATCTCGAGACATTTCTGTGTGCGTGTTTCCATGTTGTGTGTGACATGTCCCGGCGAGGCAGTTGATATTTGGGTTGCTGCCTGGTAGGGGGTACGCTAATCTAGCACGCACTCTGGAGCTACCTAGTTACTCCGCTGACAGCCGCGCAGCGCTGCATGGGAAACAAGAACTGTCCCGATCGCACGCGCACGCACACACCCAAACACACACCCAAAAACACAGCCTGTCCCTCTCCTCCGGGCCCCGCTCCTCTCTGATCTGGCCCCGGGACCGCCGAGGACAGATGGGCGAGCAGTGGGGAGTTCTGCGGCGTCCGTGGTGGCTACTGCAGAGACACGCATGGCACAGACAGACAAACAAGGATCAGAGGCTAATGCTGTAGACTGGATTGGAAAGTGGCAGACCCCAGACAGACAAATACGCTGAAATACGCACGGAAAAGATCTCGCTCGCACATAAGGGCAGTGACGGAGGATCAAGATGAGCGTGCGAACTTGTAAACATGGGACGGAATAGCACAGTTAAGATTAGATACTGTAGATAGTAAACAAAAATACGAGAGCGGGTTTCATTTGATAACTGATCATGATTTTGTCAGTTTTCTTTTGCCAACAAATTATATCTCATAGACTGAAAAAACATCTCATATTTTTCAAAAAACAATATCTTGATTAAGTAACAATCTAGTCTTTAATCTATTTTAAAGTCCACATTACTGCACACTGTAAAAACACTCACAATATTTGAACAGTTTTCATTTGGTAAGTGAAAACCTTTTACGTGTATCCATGAGAAATGCGTCGTGAAACAAGTGATTTTACTGATCTAAAAATGTAAATATTGCCTTCTTTTTAACATTACAACTTTTTTTTAAGACAGTACAGTCGGAGATGTATTTATCTTGTGTATGTAACAACAGCTGATGTGCATATGACACACCACCACCAAGACCGGTGACTTGTCTTAAAAAAAAGAAGTTAGGAGAAGAAGTTGTAATAATAATGTTAAAAAGAAGACAAGATTTACAGTAAAACTTGTTTCATGGTTCATTTCTCAAAGCTACAAGTAAAAGGTTTCCACTTATTAAATGAAACCTGCTGTAATATTTTGCAAGTGTTAAGTGTTTTTACAGTGTAGAGTACTGTTATTTGGTGGATTTTAAAATAGATTAAATACTTGTTACTTAATCAAGATATTGTATGTGAGTATAATATGAGATGTTTTTTCAGTCTGTGAGATATTATTTGCAGGCAAAAGAAAATTTATGGAAGTTTTTTATGAGTGAAGATGTTCGTCCAAGTAGAGTCTTCAGTTCTGGCCAGCTACTATTTTTACCTTCCCTTACCTTAAGTTACCTATTACCTTACGAAAGGATCTGGAACCATATCCTGTCTCACTGACTGACAAGCGGATTAACCAATCAGAGAGACGCATACTCCTTTCATGTCAAAAACAAACTGGATGCTCGCACGTACAACAGTCGGAGCAACAAAAAGTATATATCTCCGGTAAAAGAAGTTAGAAAGGTGATAGAAGCTCAGTTGGTAGAGCATTTGTCCACCGATCTGAAGGTTGGCAGTGTGATTCCAGCTCCCACAGATGAATGCTGTTGTTGTGTCCTTGGGCAAGACACTTAACCCACTTTGGCCCCAGTGTCTGCGTACATTGGTGTGTGAATGGGTGAGTGGTTCCTTGTTGTAAAGAGCTTTGAGTGCCTTGAAGGTGGAAAAGCGCTATAGAAAAATATGACCATTTACCGTATGTTTTGTTCTGAATGTTCCAAGAATTTTGGAGAGGAGATGTCCATATTTGAGAGACACGTGATAGAAATTAGCAGCTGTTTGGATCGACTCAAGTTTGGAGGATTTTCATGCTCTTGGGGTCCACTTTCTGTCTCTTTTGGGTTTGAACAGAATGTAGAAGGGACTGGCTGGTCAGGCAACGACTGTGAAGCCTGGATGAGTTGTGAAAGCATAGACTGTGTGTATAGAAGTAGAATAAGGGAGTGTTGCGTCAACCTTTGTGTTTAGGCTGCAATCAGTTGAAGCCAATCGAAGGTAGCAGTTACAGCAGGGTCCGGTCAAGTGGTAACGGAGGGAAAAGAGCAGATTTTTTACATTCAAATAGCTCTTATTCAGAAACTAGAGGGACTATTGAAATAAGTAAAGTATCAGAATGTAGGAAAGAGTTAACACTCCAACAGGGTAAAGTTAAACCTGTGATATTCTTTCAAGTTGTTGAAAAAAATTTTTAAAAACTCATGTCGGTAACGGAGGGAATGAAATATGGCAGCACTTTTTGGGCAGTAAATACAAACAGTCATAACTAGCGGTTCTCACTTACATATCCTTAACAAACTGGTTTGAATATTTGCTTCATATAGTTTTCTACCATATGGTACAAGATTAGGTTGAAAAACCTCTTACTTTTTGAGTCATGAGATTTTTTATTAAGAAAGGTCATGGTAATGGAGGGAAAAGTAACGGAGGGAAAATTGTGCAAACAAGTAGAAGGTGCATGATTTTGCATAATTTGTCATCTTTTTTCTTCCCAATACTTTAATATTACTTCAAAATGAAAGGAAACTATTTATATAAAATATATAAATAGCAAATTTTTATCATTTTAAATACATATTTTTTGAAAAATCATGTACCTTCATCAACAGTTCAAAGATCCAATAACACAAGATATGATGAAATACATCCATTTATTTACATGATTTGCAGGTCTTTGAAATTTGGGAAATAATTTTTGTTCCATGTTGCATACATGGTCTGTTTAAAACGTATGTAACTTTAGAACCAAAAATGGTACAGAAAAAAGAACAGTTTCATAAACTAGAGTACATATGCTATCTGTTGAATTTTTTTTTTTTTATATCAGATACATTAACTTGAATTTTTGGCCTTGCTGTACACTTCTGCTTGACCGGGCCCAAAGACAAATATATATATAATCACTGAATCCTTATGTACACTACAGTAGAAGAATCCTTTTCAAAGTCTATTAAGATCCAAGAACACAGTTTATGTAATTAGTCTCACACGCATTTTGTATTGTGCAATGCTTTTCGATACTAAAAAACAACCACCAGCCAACCACCAAGTAAATTTGATTACGCTTTTAATATCCAGAGGCTATATGTCAAGACAAAGGGAACAGCTGAGGTTCAATTATCCACATTTTTGGTTTCCTTAGATAGATTAGATTGAAGATAGCTACCGCACACCTCCAGCCCAATTACACACTTCAAAACTGGGTGAGAGGTTGCACCAATTAGTATAATGTAAGAAAAAATTAGCACACATATTTGCATTAGAAATCCCCTGACACAACATGCTTCAAATTGTGCGTCTGGACTAGATCATTACCTGTCTGCATTTTGCCTTTATTTGTCTAGTCGTGTTTACAGCACTTTAGTGAGAACAGGATGTCATTTTCTACTGATGTTTTGTGATTTTGTTTGCAGGCCAATTTCTAACCATAAAAAAATTGCTCCGAGCTTATCCAAAAGCAATTGAACTGTGCTTTTATTTTGCACTTTAATCCCACTAAATCGTGCTTAATATTTAACCTCATTAAAACTTGCTCGACTGATTCTGTTCATATTTAAATCATCATCCATTATGCATCGGATCACACTTACCGTTAGATCACTTACCTCAGAAGCGCGTTTTAATTTGTCATTTATTTTAAGCTTATCCAGATAATCCACATCTTCAAAGCTGTGAGATCTATAATCGTAGTACCCCTTAGGAATGTGCTGGTGTGAAATTTGACATGGTTCTTGTATTCTCGATCCTCCGCAGGTTGGCTGAAGCGGTTGCAGTGAAGGAGAAGGCAGAGCAGCAGATAGAAGAAGAAAAACAGCAACGTGATAATCTCAGGTAACTCTAATTTATCAAATGCTTTTATCACATCAAATGGTGAATGTAATTTGGAGATCGGGGGAAAATACTGTGTCAATAGAGCTACACAATCACCACAAATCCTCGAAAGTAAGTACTGTATTTTTCCGGACTATAAGTCACACTTTTTGGGGGAAATTTATTTTATAAAATCAGAGGCCAGGAACTGACATTTAATCTTGAAAGAGAAGTTAGAGTGATAACAATAAAACAGAGAACAACAGACTGTTAACGTTACATATGAGCAGTTCTTCAGAGAACTATAGCATAAACATCTCACTCCAGATCGTTAAATCCATTGAATTCTTCATCCTCAGTGTCACTTCTGAGCAACTCCGCAACCTCTGGAGGTAAACGGGCACTGCGTCCTCTTCTCTGTAGCTGTCGTCAGACTCAACATCTGTTCCAGTTAGAATTATTCCAGCCTTTCTGAATCCTGACAGGATGGTTTTGGTTGTCACTGAAGTTCAGGCTTTGTCGATCCATCCAGTGACCTCCAGGAAAGTTACATGATGCACCCTCCCAACTGTGAAGCCATGTTCCCCATTCCCGCCTTTCGCCAGTCTCGTTCACTCTAAACATTCTTTCTGTTGTTCGATTACCGTTTTCAGCAGCATATTTCACTACTTGCAGCAGAACAGAGGCTCTTTCTGCAGGAGACATGTGCAGTAGAGTGAAGTGATAGTGGTACAGGAGTAACAGAAGTAGCAGATACTGACACACAAGCCTAGAGCGCCCCCTCATGGCTTCAGTGTGAAAATTTTAATATGTAAGTTGCACGGAAGTATAAGAAGTAGGACTGTCCAAACCATGAAAAAAATACAGTATTTGTTCATTCATCGAGTAGTTGTAGCAGCTTTGATTTAAAACCAGAGAATGTAAAATATAAAATGAAATGGTCCAGAAGTTATATAGATGTTACATCAATTTGATGCAGTTTTCTCAACCTACAGAATCACAACTTAAACTTTACAATGCCCAATTTTCATGTTTATTTTCAACGGTTGACGCCAAAAAATGTGAAATCTTAAATTTGCTTTTATCACTGTCTAATAGACGACCATTTGTCCTACGACCAACTGCATGAGATAAAACTGTCTAAATGAAAAAGACCCAATAACGTCACAGTTTCCTTGAATTTCCTTGAACTTTTTTCAATAAATTCAATATAAATAAAAATGTTTTGCTTTAAAGTGTGTCTGTTAAGATTCCTTATAATTACAATGTGGAAAATAATCACATTTAACAATGATGTTTCTAAGCCAAAATAGAAATAATTTGACTGTTTTGGGGTATTTTTGACTGTCTTACTGTTACTTATAAAAGACATTAATAGTGTAATACCATTAAACATACAAAAAATGAATGAAAAGAGCAGAAAGAAGAGTGATCTTATGTTATCTGCTCCCTTTTCCAGACACTACATTAACAGTGATGGTTACTTCAAAACATTTCACTTACATTACATTTAATTTCAGTCACAACTATTAAACAATTGCAAACAGAAATCTTCACTTTTATGCACAACAACTTAATTTTATTTTTCATATATACACTGGATTTTATGTAGTTTATAAATGTCATTATTGTACTTGTTCCTTTGATTTCTTTGCCAAGACTATTCTATAAATGAACTCCTTTCATAGCAATGCTTCGTTCTGCAACCTTGGTTCTGAATCTGGATTTTTTTTTAACATGTCCGTTCCTTTTAAATTGTAGTGGCTTGTTTTCATCTCAAATAGTCTTTGAACGCACTTTGCTTTGAGGATGCGTAAGTCAATGATATTATAAATGTTATTGTTATTTGACTCACTGACCATGTACCAGGTCAAAAGCAAATTCGAGGACATGACATATTCCACTATCATCAAAATGAGTCTTACCTTCTCTTCTCATCACTTCAGTGTTATAACCAGATTTCAGAACATCCCTTGAAGGTGGTTTGGAGCTATTAAATAAATGCACATCACATAGACGTCCGCCTCCAGACCATGTATGATAGTATTTTTGTTGACAGTAGCCCTCACCAGACAGCACAAACCTGCACAGACAGTCCGCCTCACTGATATAAGATAGCAGGAGAATAAGACTAAGATTCACTGCGGCCAAAATAGGATTAACATGGAACACAAATCCAGAAAGTTGAAAAAGACCAGACCAGGGGTTTGCTGCATTCTGATTGGCTGATTACTTTTAACCAGATGTACCACAGGAAAAGGCCAGGGCAGATGGAGAACAACTGTGTGGGATGCTATTTGAGAGTCAACAGAGACAAACAATGTGAAGTTAAATGAAAATATATCAGGTTTTATTTCATTCTTCGAGTATTTGCAACATTATAACAATTGCGGAAAGCTAAAAAAAGCAGCAATTTCAATACAAATGCTTGTTTATGCTGTTTGATGCCATCTACAGGCAACAGTGGGGAGAGAAGTGATTTTAAATGATAAGTTAGCAGCGTTATTGACACCATTAGCATTCATGAAGCTGTATGACACAAACATGCACACATTCATGAAAAAATCAGGTGAAAACAAGTAACATAAAACATAAAGAAATACATACTGTAGGAATGCTGAATAGACTTGCCAAGCAACAAGTGCATCATGCTCCACTACTGCGCGAGTCTTATGAGAGTTATTTACACCTTTCAGTCTTTTCATCACAACAGTAGCCAACATAAATAAAGTGATCATACACGGGTCAAATGAAGAATAAAGAGCTGCGCTGCACACGTATTATGTCTGAAAAGTTTAACATGAACCATCTCCAACGCGATATATGCACAGAACAGACTCACCATCAGCAGAACATCCCTCTGTCACAGAAAGAACACTCGTATTCCACTGAGGATTCCAATCAGGTCACAAGGAAAGAGGTGTTTTTTCAGCGCTTATAATTATATATATAGTTAGTCATGTTGTTTTAAGGTTTGCTTCTGTAAAACATAATCAAATGTGCACAAAGCTGCATTAAACATATTATAGTACCATGGTTGTTTGTATTTTTCCTGGTTTATTAAATATAATTTTTTTGTGCTTGCGCATTTGTAAGATTATGTCAAGAATGTGGGTGTGCAAAAATATTGAAATATCGATATATCTTATCGTTTAATGTGATGATACAGTATCAATATCGTAGGCTGATGTATTGATATGTTGCCAAAAGTATTTTTTGGTGTATGTTAAGGAATTATTTTGTTACAGTTTTACAGTTTTGTTGCTTGTTTAGAGGAAGGAAACTCGTTTATGGAACACATTTGACATTTTCACTGTTTTGATGATTAAAATGTTTGTGTTTCATATGAACTTTGCACAAGAAGTGGTTTAACAAAGACTTTTAGTATCACAGCCATGATTTAGTCATTATTTTTAATTGACCCCTATCGAAACGGTTGGAAATATATTGTATTGAATCGTATCGAATCATAAGCTCACTGTATCGAGATATGTATCATATCGTGGCCTATGTATCGAGGTATGTATTTTATCAGCAACTTCTGAATGATACTCAGCCCGGGTCAAGAAACCGGGATATTACATTTGAGCATGTACGCAGAGATATGAGTATCCAGGTTTCTCAGTGCACATGTAAACAGCATATCCCGAATACTGCCTTAACCGGGATCCTGATGTGCATGTAACCGTACTCAGTGTATGTTCATGGGGCTGGGGGTTAAAGTATCAGTATCGGTACTCAGTAATTGGTAAATTATTTTCAAAAAAGTGTCATGAGTGCATGTTTGGTTTGGTCTACCTGTCACTCATGGGGTCTGACCAATAGAAAGAGTGGGAGGGGAGGAGTAGAGCAGTAAAGAAATGCACTGAGTCACATTATAACAGTCTCTCTAAATTAGCAGGTCATCACTGTTTAATAACGCATATTATTGCATTGTCACCCTCCCCTATTTGCGTATTTTAGAATTGCAAATAACATTATATCACCCATAAAGCCCTGTCACGCGTCTTTTCATTCTTTTGACCTTGGCAGACTGCGGAGTGGAGGCAGTCAGGTAATGGCCGCTGACGAGGCGAAGAGAATGAGGCAGATTAGACACCGGGGGAGTGAGTGTTTTTAAAATGGTTCCGCTGACATTGAAAGTTGCTAAATGAGTGGAGACCTTATTTTAGCAGAGGCGCACAGTTAGCCGCCCGCCCGCACCCCCCGCCTGGCCACGCTCCCCCTTGGTCGAGTCTTATCAGCCGTGACAGATCTGGCTTATATCTGCTCCTCCGTTTGGTGCTGCCGGACGTATGATTTATGTCATCTGACGTTATGAAGGCGCCTCTCGTGACAAGCAGTGCCCGCTTTCTCCTCCACTGCCCCGTTTACACACAGCTCTATTAGGATTCAGAGCGAGGCCTCACATACCCTCTGTCAGATCACGGCAAACTCACTAAGACAATATTGGCTTTTGATAAATAATATAACGTGTGATAATATATTGCGATGATTTTATACAGTAGACCTGTCACGGTAATAGCTACATCAAGTTATCCTTCAGTACATGATAGATGGAACTGTATTTTGGGGGGTATATAATTATCCATTTATCCATTTGTATTAAAAGGGGACCCATGTGCGGCTTTTTGGCCCGGGCCCCCAAATTTCTGTCAACAGGCCTGGATGGAACAATAATTTTTTGGGCCAGTATTTATTATGGGTACTTTTTCTTTGTACTAGTGGGAACATTTTCTTTTTTCTTTTTTTTTCATTTTTATTCTACAATAAGATTTGAGCTGTAATATATTGGGATGGTTTATATAGAGGCTTGAATTATGAACTTCTATGACTCATTGTAGCCTCATATATAGACTCATCTACCCTCTGTAGATCAATGCAAACTGACAAAGACAATATTGGCTTTTGGTGAATAATATAATGTGTTATAATACATTCGGATGGTTTAATATAGAGTTATTTTTCAATATATGATAGTTGGAACAGTCGATTTTTTTGGGGCCAGTATTTATCGTGGG